CCCCCCCCCCCTCGTTTATTGCAAGAAAAGATCAGGTCTGCACAAATGTGGCCTCTCACTTGTAAAAACAAGGCAGTGTTGTGTTACAGATTAGTTTATAAATCCCCAGTGGCTTCACAGTTCAGTGCCTACAGCTGCTGCAGATGGGCCTGGGTTTTTGTCTCTTCGCTGTGCTGCAGCCGGCAGTTGAAGGAGAAAATGGAATGATCAGGTTATTAACATGTAGGCCGTGAGGAAGAGGCTGCACAATGAGAACAGCTGGTGTTGCTGTCTTGGCTGATGCAGCGGAGATAATCAAATCTTCCTTTTTTTGTGGGGGGGCAAGTAAAAGGCAGAAGACACAGTGGAGAGTTAGACAAACAACACTTATGGTATTATAGGGGGGTTTTATAATGCACATTAGGAGTCATCACTGGCTTACTAGTTATCTAAAAATCTTTCCTTTTTTAGGAGGAACTATATGAGCCTTTAATGAACCTGCCTATTAAGCTTTCTTTGGTTACAGCTTGAAAATATACAACCTGGGCTACTTCCTGTTCTCTACATTTAATATCGATCTAGCTGTCTATCTTTTAGGTATTTTAAGGTGCCAGTCAAAATGGTGTCTAATTGCCGGGTTGTAGCTTGGAAATGAGGTTATAAAGCTACAAGGTAACATATTTTGACAAGAGTCAGTAAGCCGCATTGACAGCATTGTCAGCATTATTTTCATATCCACCATCATTTTCATTCCCTCTTCTCTTGTGCTGGCACAAGAAAGAAATCATATCCTCTGTGCTAAGTAGGAGACATCTGCCTGCAGGTGTGAACTGAGCCAACTTTCAGATCTTTGCAAACGCAGTTAGAGTTAACCTGCGCAGGGCCCAAAATCACAGAGAGCCCTGCTCAGTGCACACATGGTGCCAGATGTGTGAATTCCATTAATAGGTTTTGTCATATTGCCCTGTGGTATTCTTTGTTTTACAGACAGCTCCTTTCTTGGAGTGCACAATTTTCACTCTCTAGTAACCTTTGTTTCTCAGCCCTTATGGAGAAGTCCTATAGTATTTAACAAAGTGCTAACTCCTTCTATAGAATTTCAAGCTAACCTATGAAGTGTTTTGCAGTGATATCATTGTCCAGTATTACACTCTCTGGGGTGGTTTAGAAATCTCTTCAACAGATACCATTGTCCATAGATTTTTAGAGTAATTCCTGCAGAGCCCCATTTGTCTCGTTCTTATTAAATTTGATAGGATTTTTCCATAAGGCTTAATCTTCCTTTATTAAACAGACATTTGATTATTTACACCTGGTCAGGTTTGATTTGGCATCTGAATTGGAGTAGCGGATGTTCCATAGATTTTTACTTGTTGGTATTTTCTCTCCAAACATTTACATCAATAGTTTGGGGACAAGGTATGGATTTGGTCACTAGCATATGTCTGGGGCCACCACCACCCTCCCCTTGCTATATTGCTAAGTGGGAGCGGTGTCGTGGTCTGGTAAAAGTTGGGAATCACCGATTTATTACAAAATTGGTTTTTCACAGTTAAACCCAGATAAATCTGTGGAAATCAGAAGGGCTTCATGTGAGATCAAAGCAGCAGAAGTTGAGAGAGTGCTTCATTGAAGCCTGCAATGTACCTGACATTCATTTCACATCCACTCTAACTCTTCTGACGTAGGGCTGGCTGTGTGAGCTGCTCCGCTGGAAAGAGAACCCAAGCCCGGAAAACCGCACCCTCTGGGAGAACCTCTGCACCATCCGCCGCTTCCTGAACCTTCCTCAGCACGAGAGAGATGTGATCTACGAGGAAGAGTCCAGGCATCACCACAGTGAGCGCATGCAGCATGTTGTCCAGCTCACTCCTGAGCCTGTGCAGGTCAGAGCACTAACCTCCATTTCAGGGGTTCTGTGGGAAGCAACAGGTACCAGCTTCCCTTGGGCATACAGGTTGAGAAGCATCAATTTTAATCTTTGTCTACAAGGCAGAGCGTAGACTAGAACTCCAGGCTCTCTGAGCATTTTGGCTACATCTAGACTGGCGTGATTTTCCGGAAATGCTTTTAACGGAAAAGTTTTCCGTTAAAAGCATTTTCGGAAAAGAGCGTCTAGATTGGCACGGATGCTTTTCCGCAAAAGCATTTTTTGCGGAAAAGCGTCCATGGCCAATCTAGACGCGCTTTTCCACAAAAAAGCCCCGATTGCCATTTTCGCGATCGGGGCTTTTTTGCGCAAAACAAATCTCAGTTGTCTACACTGGCCCTTTTGCGCAAAAGGGACTTTTGCCCGAACGGGAGCAGTATAGTATTTCTGCAAAAAGCACTGATTTCTTACAGTAGGAAGTCAGTGCTTTTGCGGAAATTCAAGCGGCCAGTGTAGACAGCTGTTAAGTTTTTCCGGAAAAGCGGCTGATTTTCTGGAAAAACTGGCCAGTCTAGACACAGCCTTTGTGTATATTCTGTAGAGTGCATGCACGTGTGTGGTTATCAAAGAAACAGTCAAAGCAGGCTACTTATGCTGGTAATAATTGAGGGGTAAGACTCACTCTGAGGAAGAGCTGGTGGTAATTTGGGGACTACATAATCTAAACGTTTGTGATGTAGTGGCATAGCTTTGAGTTAAAACCCAAAATATATTGAACGGGTGGAGAACCTCAGGTTCGGGGGCCAGATGCGGCTCCCAGCTTGCCTGGATCCAGCCCCTGAGGCTCAGCATTGGGGAGCCCATGCTGGTACTCCAGCCCCACCTGCCACTCAGGCACAGAGCTGGAGCACACAGAACCTACTTGCCTGCCCCCACCCCTAGGCTCTGGTGTGCAAGGGGTATGTGGGCGGTGTCTTTCTCCGTCTCCGTCAGGGGCTTCTCACATTGTTTCTCACTTGTGTGTGGCCCCCGAATAATTTTTCTGTGGGTCCATGGTCCCTGACCCAAAAAAGATTACCCAGTCCTGGCCTGGAAATTCAGAACAAATTTCTCAGCGCGTAAGTGGGGTTGTAGCTAGAAAGAGGACTGGGAACTTTAGTAGACACACTCAACTGACAAAGTTTTCACTGTGTGTCACTGCCCAAAAATGCTTGTAAGATGCATCATTATAAAGAGGCCGATAATACAGCAATCAATATGTGATACTGAGAGGAGAAGTGACCCATGAATGGATGTTTGCCTTGTGAAGTGGTCTAAAAAGTAAAACGTTTGGGAAAGTTCTGCTCTGGAAATACATACAATGTCTGTGTTCGCTGGAACTTGATGTGTTCCTAAACAGCGGGGTGAACATTTGGAAGCAGAACTTAGTTTCAGAACCTCCTCAGTGATATGTGCGTATTTGTAGGTGCCATTCCTGACCCGTGCCCTAGGTTTTGGTTCTTTGCAACTTTTATATTAGACTTGTCTCTGTAGTTGAAATGAGAAGATGTTCTACTGGTAAATGGACACTGGATGCACAAAAGAGAAGGGGTCTGAGTGAAATACTACTTAGACTTTCATCTCTGTGGTCCCAGCTTCAGAACATACATGCAAATGCGTAGTAGATGTTTATACACATCACAAAACAAAGAGTTCTCTCTGTGATTGTAAAGAGGCTCTGAACTGGGACAGCAAGTTGTAACATATCAGGATGAATGTGAAATGAGCACTGGGAAGGATTGTAGAGTACTTTTCCACCTTATGCTCCTTGCGTTCACTATAAACACAGGTGCTTTCAAACAAGTGTCTGATGGTATAAGCCAACTCTGGGGAGAGGGAAGTGTTATTAGTACTGTGGTCATGCCAATGCAGAAGGAAGTCTTGAGGAAGATCTCAATGAAGAGGTTAGTTTGGAGTCAGCTATTCATGGGTAAGGTCTGGTGCAGAAGGAATTGAAGAGATTTGAGAGGTAGTGGACAACGGGCATTCAAAGCTAGAAGTAGGGTGGGAGGATGACAAGGAATCAGTAGGGAAGTCATATTTGCCAAAGTCCCTGAAGCTGGTGAGAGGCAGTCTGGACTTGGTGCAAGGAGATCCACTAGCAGCGTTCAAAGAGCAGGGAGTGATGTGCAGATCAACGTAGCACCTGCCTTTTGTGCGAATGTTCAGGTGAATCAAAGAGGAAGAGATTGCAGTGGTTAAGGTGGGGGTGAGGCTGAGAGGTCTTCCTGGCTATCTCAAAAGGAACGGTCACATCTTAAAAATGATGGAGGAAGAAATGACAAGCTTTGGCTTAGCCTGAATGGGAGGGAATTAGGCAGAGTCCAAGATAATCACCAATCATGAGTGTGTGTGAAAGAGAGAAGGTGGTATTGTCAACCAACATTGTTCAGCCTCTGGTGAGTTTCAGCCCTTCAGTTATTGCTCCTTTGTTTCCACTGAAGTCCACTCCATCTAGCTCTTCATTTCATTTCCCTCTAGTCCAAGTGACATAGTCTACTGTTGCTGCCTCCCTTTCTTCCATTTTATCTGATACTGATCGGTGTCTCTTTCTTCTTCTAAGCCCAGTCTGCTACTTTTATCATGGGTAACTTGAATTTCCATTTCAACTTTTCTGATTCTGCTACCTCTAAAATCATGTCCATTAACCTCTTTTGCTTGATTTCCTGCAGACCATCTTGGTCTAAACATCACCAAAGAGCATACTGATTTTTTTTTTAATCTCTGATGACTGACTATTAAGCGGAAGGTGGAGGGGATTATAATTCATTCAAGTCCACCTTATAATTCCTTTTTCTGATTTCCAGTCTGTTAAACTCTCTCGCTTTTCTTATATCCCTTCTTTCCCTGACTTTGCTTATATCTTTCCACTTTACCCCCCATTCTCTTATTAGATTCTCTGCCCTTTTCAGGTATATTAATTGCGTATCTGAAGCTGATGTACCTTAACTTGACTTCTGGCGCTATCCACACCGCAGGAAGTTGAAGGGAGAAGTGTTCTCCCTTCAACTTCCCTTACTCCTCGTGGATGCAGGACTACCAGTATCGACTGGAGTGCCTCTCTTAGTTTGAATTAGAGTGTCTTCACTAGACCTGCTAATTTGAACTTTGGAAGATCGACAGTGGCAGCTTCAGTCTTCTCTGTAGTATAGACGTACCCTTCCAGAACTGCTGAGTTCATCACTCTAATCCCCAGCCTCTGCCCTCAACCTGTGTTCTCTACCTCCATTTCTGTTCCTGTGCTTTTGAGCACCTCTTCATGCAGCTCTGAGACTGTTCTCCACTCTGCTAAGTGTATCCTCTCTTCTTTGAATTCTGTCCCTCATTCTTTCTAAACCATTTCCCTTCTCCCTGGTCAGTTTTTGCCCTATCCAGCCACGTATAGCTTTTCAACTTTTGACTTTCCCCTTAAAAGCTATTCCTGGCCTCCATCTTACAATTAAAGAGGTAAGAAAACCTAAAGGGAAAAATTACCTTCTAGGATTCAGTTTCTCAACTCTTACATCTACACAAGGAATCCTAAATGCCCAGCAGCAGAGGGACAAAATTCATTGGCACCCCACCCCTCTGCAGATTGTAAACTATCTGGGGCAAAGAACTGCCTTTTTATATGTTTGTAAAGGACCAAGTTCACCTCTGGCACAGTATAAATAATACCACTCAGCAAAGCTAGACGAATCTTCAGTTAGCAGAGCTTTCTCTCTATTAAGAAAAAATAACAGTGGTGCAGGAAGGCTACCAACTTTGTGTAGCCCTGAACTATGTTGGACACACAAAGGAAATTGTTAGTATGGGGGAAAACCCAGCCCTGATACTAATACTAGATTAAAGGGCTTGAAAGGGACAGTTCAAGATAATTTTTCCCTGAGTTGGCTTAGCTTTAACCAGTGACCTTGATAATTTACCCTACTTTCAGAACTCTTTTGCACATCACTTTTTTGCATAGTGTCTCATCTGAGTGACATGTTACACTGCATTGCAATGTGATGCGTTTGTGTTTGTCAGCAAGTTGCAAAGCCATGGATTAATTATTTATTACAGTCAAAATATGAAAAATGAAGAAAAATAAATGGAACCAGCTGGCAACTACATCTTGCAAAACTCTGGAGACTCGGGGATATGGTTGATACATTAGGTTTGTGTTTTGGGGGCGCTGCATTTTAAAAGACTTTGTTTGCCCATCTGAAATTCCCAATTGTTTTTTTGAATGGCATGCTGCCGGTATGAGATTCAGACTCCACCTGTCCACTACTTTAAAAAGTAACTTTTATAGAGTGGTTTTCGATTTATTCTAAATAATATTTTCAGTCTCTGCTACTGAAGTTACTTTTAGCAGCAAGATTTGATTTTGACTTTGCTGTGAGGGTCCTTAATAGGTAGTTAGCGTGGAAGACTCCATGACAGCTTGTATCAGTGAAGTAAAGCGGAGGTCCTCACGCTAGCAGTCACTGGAAATCCTGTGACACTTTCCATAAGGGTAGGGGTCTCAGACCCTGGAATCCTGGCCAGGCTCCAGTAGGAGTAATTACATTCTGCCTGTCTAAAATTCCCTCCGTAGTGTCAGCTGGAAAAAGCTAGTCTCACTTCCTTCTAGAAGCAGTTGCTGGTGCAGGATGCCTGCCGCATTTCAGTATTGAATTGGCTCAGTTTTTGCACTGGTGAAGTACTCTGCTTTGTGGGTGAAAGGTGCTATATAAATGTATGTTGTTAACACTTAGCCTTGACATCAAGGTAAGGATCATTAAAAGGTGGAACAAGTGATAGTATTATACATGCGGGACATGCAAACCAATAAAAATCTTAAGTGCTTACATGGCTCTCAAAGGAAGGCGGCGGATAGCCATTCTTACTTCTCTAGTTTGTTTTATTTTCCTCTGTCTTCCCTTATTTAAAAAAAAATAATTTGCTGTGTGGCAGTCATTCATGTTCAATAATTGAGATGTGGTGCAGTTGTTCTAGCAATCGCCGTGCCACATG